TGTTTTCCATTCATCATTTGGTCTTATGCGAACCAGATTATATGCCCCCCGTAGATCAAGCTTCGTAAATATTTTAGCTGAACGAAGTCTCTCCAGAAGTTCAGGAATGAGAGGAAAGGAATAACGTTTTTTAACAGTGATTTTATTAATGTCCCTGTAATCGACACATGGTCGTAGACTGCCATCTTTCTTTTCTACAAAGAATATAGGAGCTCCTGCTGGAGAAGTAGATGGTCGAATAGAGCCTTTGGCAAGATTTTCTTGTATGTATTCACGAAGTGCTTTCAATTCAGGCTCAGAAAGGGAGTATATACGGCCAAATGGGATAGCAGCTCCAGGTAGCAGCTCTATAGGGCAATCATAAGGCCTGTGAGGTGGAAGCTGATCAGCATTCTTCTTATCACAGACATCTGCAAAATCCCGATATTGTAGAGGAAGCTTAGTTAAGTTTGTAGCAACCATTTCATTAATTGTTGTGGTAACAGGTGTCGCCTTAGAGGGTTGACAATTCATTAAGCAGTGTTCTGAAGGAAAGGACAAAGTTCTAGTCTTCCAATCAATCTGTGGGTTATGCAGAGCAAGCCAGGGTATACCCAAAATCACTGGAAACTGTGTTGAGGAAATTAGGTGGAAAGATATAGACTCATGGTGATTCACTTCCAGAATCAATTTTAAGGGCACAGTCTCATGTGTAACCGGGCCTGACGTAAGTGGAGAACCGTCTACTGTTTCCATTAACACAGGTGAAGATTTAGGGATAGACTGAATTTTATTTCCTGCTGCAAATTTAATGTCCATAAAGTTTCCGCCTGCTCCGGAATCTATCATAGCTGTTGTTGAAATCTTATTATCACCATATTGCAAAGTGATAGGCACCACCAAATGAGGATGTTGAGTCATCATACCCTCTTCACCCTGAGCCAGAGAAAACAAGGGTTGTGTGACAGAATCCAGTTGGTCTGAAATCTGGGATTGGTGTTGAATCTGTGCACCCTCAGCAGTCATAGCTATTGTTCTTTTAGACTTGCTAGGGCAATTGATGGCATAATGCCCTGCACTACCACAATACAGGCATAAATTGTGAGTGCGTCGCCACTGTTTTTCTTCATTGAATAATGGTCCTCTTATTAGATCTACCTGCATAGCCTCAGGTTCAGAGTCTGTAGGTGTTTGTGGGGTCAGAGTAGAAATTCTTGAATAGAAAGTAGGAGTAGCACTTGGTTTAAAAGAGCCCTGTCTTTCCAATCTTCTTTCTGAAAGTCTCCGATCAATACGGATAGCCAACCGCACAAATGCATCAAACTCAACAGGAAGATCAACATAAGCTAGCTCATCTTTTATAGCTTCTGAGAGACCCCTTCTGAAGTGGAACCTCTGGGCTGATTGGTTCCAAGTAGTATCAGTAACCCACTGTCTGAATTCAGCAGCATATTCAGCCACAGAGCGCCTCCCTTGATGTAAATGAAGGAGAGTGGCTTCTGCTGTAGCACAGCAATTGGGGTCATCAAAAACTAGGCACATGGCCTCAAGAAAGTCTTTTAAATTTCCCAAGACTGGACTGTCCTGTTCCAGAAAAGGGGAGCCCCAGGCCAGGGCTTCATCTTTGAAGAGGGAGAAAATAAATCCCACCTTCTCTCTTTCAGATGGAAAACGGTTAGGTAACATCATGGAATGCAAACGGCATTGATTTAGGAAACCCCTAAATTTTTTGTGGTCTCCTCCAAATTTTTCTGGTAGAGGCAAGCGGGCATCTTGTGCAGGTGCAACAGTAGTAGTAGCAGCACCCGCAACATCATGTGCCCTGTAGCTGGTAAGCTCACTATGCATTGATCGAACTTCATTTTGCAGTTCAGCTACCTGATCCTGCAGCACTTGAATGGTCTGTGCCTGGGTCTGCATAGTTCTTGCATTAAAAACAACCTGCTGGGCCAATGCAGAGTCTGATCCGACGATCTCCATGAATGGGCCAGATTATTCTGTAATGATATTGATGTTACAAAGCTTTGGAATCCAGTAGTCAGATCAGCAATGTTTTCTGCCAGAGGTAGCCACTCGTTACCCAGGTGGTTGAGCCCCTGAGCCTTGAGTGGCCTTCTGGTCTTAAGCAGAGATGGGAGACTGGAACAGAAAGATGATAATTGTAGTGAGGCAAGCCGAGGTCAGTGGGAAAGAGAAGCAGCAAAGTCAAAACAGTCCAAATTCAGCAACAGGAAGGAGAAACAGGAACATGCTTGATTAGAGAGTACAGGAACCACAATAATCTGGCAAAGGTACAGAGACAGGAAGTGGCTTTTATAGGCCAAGAACCAGACACCTGACCAGACACAGCTGAAGAGAGTTGTCACTGATAACCTTGACTCTACAAGCAATGGTATCAGATCTCAGGTAAATTTGCAAAAGGCAAGCTGGTGTACTGGTAAGGAAGAGGTTTAGCACCATGTAAACCAGGATTCGAAACCCAGCAGAGTCGGTTCCTCACACCAACCCTGCCACCTAATGCAAGAAGTTAATTGACAGAATTAATTAATTTTGTTTAATGTTAACAAGTAAGCTTGATAATTGTACAACTGCCTAATAACGCTCGCACTGTTAACTATGTTAATGTTCTTAGGACCTGCGTGTCCGATTTATTGTGTTTAAATTTTGCACTCAATAAACAGCTTTGAGAAACAAAAAAAAGAAATAGTGAGGGGGAAAAAAGTGTTTGAGTCACTGCTTATTCTGTACGTTTGTCCACTGACAAAGAAATTATGAGTCTATCATTTTAATGGTCATTGTATTTTAACAGTGAGACAGAATAACAAAATGTAAAAAATTCAGAAAAATGCATGTCAAAGTTATAAATTGCATGTCAATGAGAGAAATACGTATTTGATCCCCTATCAATCATCAAGATGTCTGGCTCCCAGGTGTCTTTAATACAGGTAACGAGCTCAGATTAGGAGCACTGTCTTAAAGGGAGTGCTCCTAATCTTGGCTCGTTACCTGTATCAAAGACACCTGTCCACAGAAGCAATCATTCAGATTCCAAACTCTCCACCATGGCAAAGAGCTGTCCAAGGGTGTCAAGGACAAGATTGTAGACCTACACAAGGCTGGAATGGGATACAAGACCATCACCAAGCAGCTTGGTGAGAAGGTGACAACAGTTAGTGCGATTATTTGGAAATGGAAGAAACATAAAATAACTGTCAGTCTCTCTCGGTCTGGTGCTCCATGCAAGATCTCACCTTGTGGAGTTTCAATGATCATAAGTACGGTGAGGAATCACCCCCGAAATACATGGGAGGATCTTGTTAATGATCTCAAGGCAGTTGGGACCATAGTCACCAAGAAAACAATTGGTAACACACTATACCGTGAAGGACTGAAATCCTGCGGCACCCGCAAGGTCCCCCTGCTCAAGAAAGCACATGTGCAGGCCCATCTGAAGTTTGCCAATGAACATCTGAATGATTCCGAGGGGAACTAGATGAAGGTGTTGTGGTCAGATGAGATCAAAATCGAGCTCTTTGGCATCAACATAATTTGCTGTGTTTGGAGGAGGAGGAATGCTTCCTTTGACCCAAAGAACACCATCCCCACAGTCAAATATGAAGGTGGAAACATTGAGCTTTGGGGATTTTTCTGCTAAGGTGACAGGACAACTACACCACATCAAAGGGATGATGGAAGATGCCATGTACCGTCAAATCTTGGGTGAGAACCTCCTTCCCTCAGCCAAGGCATTGAAAATGGGTCGAGGATGGGTATTCCAGCATGACAATGACCCAAAACACACATCCAAGGCAACAAAGGAGTGACTCAAGAAGAAGCACATTAAGGTCCTGGAGTGGCCTCCATCTGTGGAGGGAGCTGAAGGTTCGAGTTGCTAAACGTCAGTCTTGAAACCTTAATGACTTGGAGAGGATCTGCAAAGAGGAGGGGCACAAAATCCCTCCTGAGATGTGTGCAGACCTGGAGGCCAACTACAAGAAGCGTCTGACCTCTGTGATTTCCATCAAGGGTTTTGCCACCAAGTACTAAGTCGAGTACTAATTTCACTCATTGACTTTTTTTTTGTTATTCTGTCTCTCACTGTTAAAATACACTTACCATTAAAATGAGACTCATCATTTCTTTTTCAGTGGGCAAACGTTCAAAATCAGCAGGGGTTCAAATACTTTTTTCCCCTTACTGTATTCATTGAGGCCATAATTAGTTGTAAAACAAAAGCTTACAAAATAGACAAACACTAAAGCACAATAACTACAACAACATGATGTAGCATTTATGGTGACAGATGTACTCATGCTCCCCCCACAACTTCCTGCATTGTAAGGAGTCAAACTACTTTTCAATTGTTTGACTCTCATCTCTATTACTAAATAAATTTCTTTCCGCTCTACCTCCATTGGATTTAACTAGATCATTGGTTTATCCTGTGATAAAAATGCTCTAACTCAAAAGGTGTTTTAGAATCACACATTAACAAATGGCATCAACAAAGCATTGTGGAGATAGGTTACAGTGTAAACTTTTTTTTTTTAATTCTTTATTTTTCACGTGCACAGATTTACAACAGGCATGCAGAGCCACGACAGCTTCCGCATGCTTTTTATACCGTTTTGCAGTGTAGACAGCACATTTTTTTTTTATATAACATGAGGAATACTGGCAGAGAAACATAAGTGTAGTATGGTTTAGCATGTCTGACTGAACATTCAAATAACATTTCTCAAGTTAGGTCCCTGAATGTCTGGATAAGGTACACGCTTCAAGAGTCAACGATTATGACATTACTTGCTGACCATAAACATGCTAGGTCCTGTAAATAAAACTTTTCTAGCAAGCAAGAGTGTTATCTATACTGTGGCTGGTTTACATCATATAAGCATTAGGATGAACAGGAAAGATAAACTAATAACTTGGCTCATGATGATGCTATGAATAATCTTACATTGGTTAGCAAAGGTATTAGGCTGTAGTTAACGTTGAGTCTGCTATATGACCACTGGGTACTAATTGTACCATGACAGCTCTAAAGGAGCAGTGAATTTAATGTCTCTGTAAGAGAGCTGGTGTGTATTCCGTGCTGTCCATTTATCCGATACCTCGTATGGGCCATCGGAGCTTGGTAGGCTGCATGGTCGGTGAGGTAGTGCTATTCGTCCCCAGGAAGGGCTGTGTGTTGAACCAGGCTCCTTGCATGTGGCTTGAGGTGGGTGAGCTGCGCCAGGGGTTCCCGTTCTCCCAGGCCCAGGTCTCCCATGGGTTCCTTGCCGCTTGTCTGGTAGCTTTCCGTTTTGGTTTGGCTGGGTGACGGGTCTGCGGACGCTTGATGCGTCGGGGGATTCCCCAAGTGCTTGGACGGCTTGTTGGCTGTGCCACCCGGCGAGCTCCATGCCCAGTGTCGGTTGCAGGTTCGCGGTCCGGTGCATCTTTTCTCTGGGTCAGCTGTCCGTGTGGGTGTCGGCTTTCGATGCGGTGCCAGAATGCTCGGCATATGCGTTCAAACCGGGCTTCAAAGTCTTCCCACCAGGACTGAATGTCCGCTCTCTCTGTGGTTTGTCGAGGCTTCGTTTCGGCGGCCATCTTGTGCTCGCCATGTGGTCCTTGGGTACAGGAGATCACTTGTTTGCCGGGGGGTGACTTTCCCCAGTGGGGACCGGGATAACCCCCTCCGATCCAGAGGGGTGGTGACAGGGCTCCGGAGTCTCCAGGTGTTGCCAAACGTCTCGGGTCAGGGGATCGGCCGCCTCCCCCGGCCCACAGGTCGCCATCAGTGTTAGGCCTCGTGGCTGGACGGCTGGATACTGTGTTGGGGCAACTGGCTGCATGAGTGCTTACAGTCCCGTGCTGCTTGGTGGCAGAGTCTTGCCCTTGCCAAGTCATTTTCTGTGCGTTAGAAGGTCAGATTAGCTAATTTTCAGCCCTGTTTTACAGGAGCTGAGCTGAAACACGTCCTGCCATCTTGGCTGCCAGGCCCCGCCCCCCACAGTGTAAACATTTTTGAAGGGAGAGAATTATAAATTATTTTATACTATTGAATCAAATTAATAACAAGATTTTTTTTTATGATGTCACCAATTGCTTTCTTTGAATATGCTGCATGGCTTCGATTCCTTTACCCTTTTTTATGGTCTCAGCTGGTGTAGACTTCTGTACATATGGTAAATTAAGTTTTCATTTTAGTTCATGGTTACCATATTTTTCCAGGTGAAACATTTCTACTGAGACAATGCCCAATGAATAGTTGGAATTTAACATATGAATTGGTTCATTGGTAAATAATCAGAGGTACCTAGAAACTTTCAATTGTATTCCTGAACAAGATGGGTAGGCAACATCTGGTCCAAAACCCCTGTTCATGTTCTTTCATGAATTAGATACAGTCTCCTCAGCTTGTTATTGTTAAGGGAAAAAGCAGAGAAATATTATCTTTATAAAAGCACAACTTAAATGCTGCTTTAATATGTATTTTCTTCCTGGTTTTTGATGTTGACTGCATTTAACATTTACATTTGCTATATCTCTTTTTTATTCTTGGAATAAACTGGTTTGGAAGACAAGCACTAGCTCGAGACTACAAACAAAGACTACAAAAACAATATGCTCAGTTTTAATAATTCCGAATCCTAGCAAAAAAACCTTATGACCATTTGGAGCAAGTATTTATAATGGCCAGATGAGCCCAGTTCACTCAGCCTATCATTGCTGCTGTCATGTTCTCGATCAGGTCAGATAGGAGACGATTGCCAGGTATAACAGAAGTGACTTTATGCGTAGCTTTTGACATTATAACAGTAACTTTTAAAATCAGGAATGAAATGAACATGTGTCCAGATAGTGGGTTTTGCAGGGTTGTATTTATCAAGGTAATTA